CCATGTTGACACACCGATCGATGCACCACCAGAAGTCGTCTTCCGATTCACCTTTCCAGGCAAAAACTGAAACACCTTTAAAGGGCACACAATAAATGCATAGTGAGTCCAGAATATCAGGACACATTGGACCAGGTTGGAATTGATAGTTTAGAAAACAGTATAAGTTTAGAGGGTTGTTTACCGCTCTCTGCCAAAGCTGCTGCCACTTCATTCTGAGTGGAGTAAATGTTACAGGCAGTCCAGCGACACTGAGCGCCCAGTGCCACAAGTGTCTCGATCAGGACCTGAAAGAAAACAGTACAGCATATAAAACACATGGGAAAGCAAAGGTGCGTACTTACATTTATTTGTTCTGCGATATTTTCACACATAAGCAAATATACAGTACTGTGCAAAAGCCTTAGTCACACTAGTATATTCGCCCCAAAGAAATGGTTTTAAGCCAATTATATCTTTTGCTGTAGTATTTCAGTAGGAAATATCAGTTTAAATTGCCAAATATTAATTTTGCTATTAATCCAGTGAAACTTTTGTAAGCACAGGGAGTCTGACAACAGCTGGTATGATTCACACAGAGATCTGATCTCACCATCATCAAGTCCATCTGGGATTACATGAAGAAACAGAAAAAAACCCGCCAACATCCAGAAGAACTGCGGCAACATTTCCAATACGCTTAAAGAAACCTTCCTGCAAAGCTACCAGAAAAACTATGTGCAAGTGTACCTGGACAAAAGCAGTTTTAAACGCAAAGGGTGGTATTGATTTGATTTAGTAAAAAGAAGTTAATTGATAAATAAAATATATTTATGACATTATTTTTGAAAGCATCCTCACTCCTTGTGCATACAAATAACTCACTGGATAATTACAATTATTGGCAAAATTAAAGTTTGGAAAAGTAAACTGATATTTCCTACTGACACACTGCAGCAAAAGATACAAATAACTGGCTCAAACTCATTTTTTGGGGTGAAAATACTAATGTGCCTAAGACTTTTGCACAGTACTGTACATTGAGCACTGTGGTTCTGATTTATTTATATGAAAATAAAAAAGTAATACAAAGTATCCTCATAGCGCAGCTGATTGGACGCTGTGGCATCAGCAGCCAATGAGCTTGCTGCTCAACATTCAAATACTTGGCATTGTTTGCTGTTATCAGTCTGCAGAGCCCTTTCAGAAACCCTCACCTTCCCCAGCTCCACCTGTATAGATCTGCTACGGGAGGTTATTTCATTTATTTAATATGTGCAGCAGCAGCATGTCTGTGAATGTATTGGCAGTAGCAAGTCTCTGTACTTGCTCTGCTGCAGCAGCAGCGTAGCAGATCTATTCCATCAAGACCAAATGCATTAACATTGCCACTCTCTTCGAGAGTTGTCATGACAGAACTACGGTTACTTTTGCTCATTTGTTGATCATTCAGCTGGGTATTTTAATAAAGGCAATGCTGCTACAGTGTTATCAAAAACAAGAGTTGCAGAGGAAGAGTGTGTTTGAATTAGTGCAGCCCTGAGGAGAACCTACAGCAGTCTGCGCAGTGATGTGGGTACAGCCAACCACTTTAGCCCCGGCGAGGGGTTTCTCGCCCTGAGCCCGCTTCCGCAGGGAAATGAGTGCAGACATATCTGTGGATATGATTGAGACAACAGTTTGGAGATGAGACAACTTTATTAAGGAAGGTACAATCTAGAGTCTGAGACAGGTCAAACCTTTAAAGGAAAAGTTCACCTACAAATTAAACTTGTTAGTATTTGCTCAAAATCTGTATGGTTTTCTTTCATCTGTGGAACATATATACAAACACAATGAATGTGGACTGAAGCTTTTAAGCTTTCAAAAAGGACACAAAAGCATAATTAAAATGGTCTATATATGAATCATGCACTATATTCCAAGAAATATTGTGAAAGAAACTTATTTATGGATCACTGAGTCAGTGAGTTGAGACATGTCTGTGTTTTTTCTGAAACAAAGCTACTTGTATGGCTTTAGAAGTCATTCTAAATTTATCCTTTTGTCTTGTAACAATAATAACCAATAACCAAATGATAGGCTTTCCTTTTTTGAGCGAACTCTTTCAGGTACTGTTTGTATGGACTGAGTTGCTGGTATTAAGATCTTGACCCAGTTATCCCTTTAAAAAAGATTAAATCAATTAAACGGAGTACAATGACTATTCCTGACAGCAGCAGCTGTTACCAAACCTTGTTGACTTGACAGCACTTACACACCTACATTTGTGTTCAACTGGTGCAACAGATTTCCAGAGTCAACAGTACTTTACTAAAGCCTTAACATTAATTTACAAAATTTGACAAAACATGACAAACTAGTTGAGAATCAATGCTGTAATGGTTATGTAAATCCATGTTGATATGACACAGCAACCTGACACAGTATCAAGGTGAGTCTCCTAACCTTGCTCAGCGATCTCGATCTCCCGCCGACCAAACTCTGCCTGCTTGATGTTCTTGACGCAGAAGTCGCTGCTGCCCTTTGAGTTGAGCTGGCTTTTCTCACGGGGAGACGTCTCATCATCCGAACTGTCTGTGTATGAGGCCGCTACAAAAGCATGGAGCATGGCACATTTTAGTGGAGATAAACTCCAATGCATGCATTCAATTGTGTTTGCAATGAAACATGACATATGAAAATCATTCTTGTGATCTTATGAAATTTGAGTGTTTCAGCAGTCTGCTATTGGGGTGGGGGGGGGGTCGGTCTGCAGTCACAAACATGTAGGAATGTTTATCCCTCACTTTTGTTGGTATTACGAACAATTTAGGAATGTGAATTTGTCTGATCCAGAGCCAACACTACCAAAAGTCTGTAGTTCCCGCTTTAAGCTGGTCTGGGATTATATTACACAACACACAAACTAGCATGAACAAGAAATAAGCAGTTTTGGGCCACAATGATATTTGTTGACATGCAGTTTCTGCAATAAACCTAAACCCATTAATGTACTAAAAAGGTCTTAGACCTAAAATGTATACATTTGCATGCATTTAACGCTTCACGCTACATGGCAATGTTTGTGTTTTTGTTCTTCTGAACTACAGAACTGTATTGACATGAGGGTGGATGAGGGTCAGACCTGAACTATAGCTGTCTGTAGAGGACTGAGAAATGGAGCGAGACAAGGAGCGACGGCCGGTCTTTGTAGGAAACTTGCTGAACTCCTGCTTTTCCTCTTGGTTGGCAAACTGAATCTGCTACAGTAAGATGGAGGTTTGGAAAAAGAGAGGATGGGGGAGAGATAGACACATGAACATGTGATTTCATTGTTTTTGGCTTTCTAGCAGTACATTAGAAGTAAGATATTACTGTATATCAAACTACATTAACCTTAATAATGCAAACAGTAATCTCTTTATATTTCATGTAGTTCAAATTTAATTAAACAAACCATAAAGATTTCACTTTGAAATATAACTACTGAACATTAAATACACCCAAATAGTCTTAAGGATCAGCATAGCTTCAAACATGTACAGTCGTAATTTAGCACAAAAGAACACTATAAATAGCATCTGCTCGCCGCTGTATTGAAATATTTTAAAATTACATAACAGATGTGGGGAACCAATCTCATCAGGGGATTTCAGTTCCATTTCAGTCATTTTAATGATGCAAAACTTGAAATATTCATGGGAGATGTGCTTGCAGGCTGATGAACTGTGTACTGCTGTTTTCTTTCCTGTGTTGTTGTATTTTGTGTATGAATGCACCTTGTAAGGAAACACACCTTAAAGACTCCATAACATCATGTCTAATCAATCATCTAGAACACATTCATGAGAACTTTTGAGAACAAGCAAATATTTAGTGACTACAATGGTTCCTGACTGTCTCATAAGCTGAAAAAAGGGGGGAAATGGACATTTATAAATGAAGGTACGCTAACCACCCCTTTAGACTCCGTTTTTATTCTTTCCACAAACCACTGAACGATTCGCAGAGGATTTTGGGATATCATGCCAGTAAAGGACAGAATTATGTTCCATTTAAAAAATTGACCAGATAAAGTTCTCTCATTAGACAGACATGTGATGCAAATATTTGAGCCTTGATGCTCCATATATTAGGTGGAATGACATTTTCATCCTATAAAAAAAATATTTGAAAAAAGTCAGTAATATTTTGGGCTATTTTCCCAGAACAGAAAGACAAAAAAAAGAAGAAAAAACCTTTCAGGAGAACACTAGCATATAAGATGAGCTCTAAACTAACACATGGATTAACATTTTTACTTTTACATTTTAATGTCATTGTGCTATTAAAGTAGTAATATGAGCTGAAAGTTAAAACCTTACAGTGCACATAGGCTGATAGAAACATTAATGTTATCATGCGGGGCAATATTTAAAATACCCAATGAAGACAGATCAGTGTTTCACATTACACTTCATGAAGGATGGGGAGGATCGGGGCGTCTGGGCTGGGTTTCATTGCAGACTATTGGATTAACACAGTAATATGCAGGTAAATCACAGAAGCAGAGCTCTGGTTCCGACTGCTCCTTCTTTCGACCTGATTTATGTTTCTTTCATACACATATTACACAGATATCTCATCTACAGACATGGATCACCAGCGGCTCAGCTTCAAAGCATCTGCAGACCCAGATTTACCATGAAGAAATAAGCAGGAATATTTGACTATGCTTTAGCAAACAGAACACTTTTAAAGTTTATACTTTTCATTGCAAAATGAGATATTTTCAGTAACAATTAAATGTAAAACTCTTGCAAAAGGTGTGTTCACATTTTACACAACATTTTTACAGTCTTTAGAGAAATGGCATGAATGTAATTCAATAATTTTTTATATTAACTTTATATTAACAAACAAAAAATGTGGTAACACATTTCATACATTTAAATTGAGTTACTTAAAGTCACTTACAAAACTATGTTTTTATATGTCGATATCTATAATAATGTGTCTTTAACCGATTTAAGTCTTACAAATTCAGTAAGCTTGTAAGCTGTATGTGTTCGAGTCACTAAAACAAACCGATTCATTACAGTCATTTGTTTGAATCGAGCTGTGCTATTGACGCTGTACGTTTTTACACTAAAAAGAACCGACTCATAAAGTCATTTGTTTGGTGATCGGACTACACTGGTTGCACTGAAACTTTCTGGCTGCACCCGAAAACTCTTACTTTTTAATTATGAATCACTTCGAGACCATTAAAATAGTATATAGTATGAATGAGTGTAGTATAAATGTAATTAGGACGTACATTCGTCATGTTGTCATTTTCATGTGAACTACAGCGTCAGTCGCATTGATTCAATGCTGTTTACAAATCATCTCCCATGGGCTCATGGGATAGTAAAGTGTCCACTGGATCTGCTCTTCAATTTCTCGCCGGAAGTAGTAGGTCATCTGGGTACTTTTTCCCTACTGTTTTATGAATACTGTGAATTCGGACATAGTGCTCTTTTCACATACTGTTTTTCAACTACTATATAGTAGGTAAGTATGTATAGTGACCTTAATAAGTGACATCTATCTGAATGTGTGTTTGTGTGCGGTTATAAGCAGGCAAATAATCCGAGCACCTAATATATTTACTGTCCAAGCGCACCAGACAGATAGAGAGAGCAGCACATCTTATCTTTGTTGTATTTAAAAACATGAGATTTTGTATAATGCATCTGATGATAGTCAGACTACTACATCCTTTAAAAATGCTGGGTTATTTTTTTTTAACCCAAATGCTGAGTTCAGCCTGTTGTATCGTTTTATTGGGTTATTTGTAATATTTTCCCCAGTTGCGGAGTAGTTTTTCTGTAACTCAGCTGCTGGCTCATTTTTACTGTTAATACAATATATGATAAACCCCTCACATAGCTAGCGCTGGGTCAATGTAACCTAAACCCAATGTTGGGAAGTCTGTACCAAACCAGTTAAAACTGGATACATTTGTCAACGGTAAATTTGTGTTCTGTTCTGTTCTGTTCTGTTCTGAGAGAACGAATGAAAGAATGAAATTAAGGTTTGTATTACATCGTGTTCCTATCAAATTATTACTGTACAAACAGAAGAAAAAGTCTATAGTCTCACATTTGACCTTTTTTGTTTACATGCGGCTACATCGCAGCTAACGTCTTCTTGGAACGCTAGCCTTCTACAAACTCAGCATACACCGAATCTACACTCAAAGCGAACAACGTTTCAGCTCCAGCCAAAAGAACGTGCGACCAGAGCTGAAACACGACCCAAAAACGCTGTCATATGTAACACATTTTCCGTGCGCTCCACAGCGCTATTGAACGACTAGTGCACTAGCATCGTGGCTGTGGTCGCACTATGCGTTTTACTGGTTGAAACTTGAATGTCTGACGAGATGGCACAAGGTAAAGCTGTTTATGATGTAACTTTTCAAACATGAATATATAAGATTTTCATTTAATGAATTGGAACATTGATACCAATTGATTAAGATTGGAAATACTGATGCCAGTTTTCTTTCCACGGATTCCCATTGGCTGTTCTTGCTGCAACTGTCACACCCTAAAACGTTTACTAAATGGGTTTTTTGAGTATTTCATGATTGAGACTGATTTGCCATTGAATAAAAAAGTTTTGTATTGAACCGTTCCTTTCCTATATTATTTTTATTATTTACAATGAAAAATATCAGGTTGACTGACCCAGCACTAGGTCAAAAATGTATAAAACCCAGCATTACCCAGTATTGGGTTGCCAAATAACTCAGAAATAGTTGTTTTTGACCCAGCATTTTTTTTTTGAGTAGGAAAGGGTTCTGGATAGTTCAATAGTACTCGTGAATCTGATACTTTTTCCAAGCAAAACAACAGATCCCTCAACCTTACAAAACACAGCTGCCATCACAATTCCTACTGTGAACTATAGACAATATGGAGACCAAGAGGAAAGTTTTATTTCTTAGAAGCTGCTCTTTCATAGTTCAGAGCACTTATTGAGACATTTTATTTGAAAGTATAATATTTTGAATATTATTTTCAAATACACTACCATTCAAAGGTTTGGGGTCGGTACGGTTTTTTCATGTCTTTGAAAGAAGTCTTTTCTGCTGGCCAAGGCTAAAATTATTTGACCAAAATACAGTAGAAAATATATAAAAATATACAATTTCAATTGAAACTGTTTAATATTTTAATATATTTCAAAATGTAATTTATTCCTGTGATGGCAAAGCTGAATTTTCAGCATTACTCCAGTCACCAGTGTCAAATGATCCTTCAGAAATCATTATAATATGCTGATTGATGCTCAAGAAATATTTCCTATTATTATCAATGTTGAAAACAGTTGTACTGCTTAACATTTTTGTGGAAACTGGGATACGTTTTTTTTTTTTCAGGATTCTTTGATTAATTGAAAGTTGAAAACTGAAATATAAATCTTTATTTTGTCTTTAAAATGTTTTATGGTCATTTTTTATTCATTTAACACATCCTTGAGGAATTCAAATATTATAATTAAAAAAATATATTTAAAACCAATTTATATATATATATATATATATATATATATATTTCTACTGAGATCTTTCCTATGAAGAGATTTTCCTAAAACTGCTCCATACTGCACGACTTCAGATTTCAGTTTGATATGCAGTGACCCCACTACACAGTTTCACTTTACTCAAAACAATCAGCAATCTACTTTCCAATCCCAGAAAATGTTCAGTTTCCCCTGCAGCATTGCTTTAACACCATAATAAATAGGTTTATCTGTTATCTAATATGTGATTTGCCAAACAGCATCCAAGTCCTGAGTTTAGGTGTGTTTGGACACAAAACTGAGGGAAATGCCAATGAAGTTGACACAACACACAGCTGATGTTTCAAGGAAATTGGAGTGATAATAAAAATGCCATTGCAAGGCAGTATTGTGGCCCAAAGGCAGAGCTTTGAACTGAAAGTGCTTGAAATAACTGGACAGTTATGATCAGAGACGAGATGAGTATTATTCTTCAGGTGAACGACAGAGACAAAGAGAAAGCTATGAACCCTGATGAAGCCTCATAAGCATTAACATTACTTTCAGCTCATTTCACTGATTACACTGTCAGCTAAATGATTAAATTGTACTATATTCTTTTTTTAACATGCTGGCAATGTGGCTGTGGATTGTGTTAAATCAGACTTTAACTGCCCTAGCCAGTGTTACGTAGCAGTAGCTTATAGTCCAATGTAAGTGTCAAAAGACAGTTCAACTGACAACACATGACTGTGGCAGAAGTAAATATCCTTGTTTGACACAGATCAGTCAGACGTATAACTTCACCTTATTCTGAGTAATAATTGCTTAAGTCTATTTTAGTCCATGGAAAACAGCACATGGTGTCTCAAATCTTCCTACTCAGAGAAGAACTGAGAACTTCATATATCAAAAATGATACATTTCCAAGAATCATTCAGTGTCCCTCCTGACACATTGACAGTGATTTAAAATAGCATTGCAACAACTGTTTATTACGGGGGGAAGCAAAGGTGAGTGCGACATATATCAAATTTAAACTATTTTGATGTGATTTATAATACACACACACACATACAAATCTAAACATTACAACACATAGGAAATGCATCAAATATTTGTCTCTTATTTTAACTAGCCCCCCCCAATATTTATTAATATATTGATATATTTTAGAAACCACAGACTGTCACCAAGCAAATTCAATCTCGTTTTGCTGTGTCCCGCTGTAGAGGATGGAAGAGAGAGTAATGAGGCACTTACCCTGGGAAAGTCATAGCCATGGTTCATGGTCCCTGTCTGTGCCGGCTGCCTCTGGCCTGTGTGCCTGTGTATTGTTACAACTGGTGTTTCACCAATGTAGTTTTACACACAGGCGGGTGCAGGGGGGAGAGTACTGTTTGGAGTTCTTACAGCGGACATGAGGGTATGGGAGGTGACAAGGGAACAAATAAATCAACCACTCACAAACCCGGCCAGCCTACTTTTGCTCTCTCTCTTTCTATAATCTATTGCAACCACTGTAAGGGCCGGCAACACGTCTGTTTGTGGTGACTGAATGCTTCAGGAATACTAAAGGAAGGGTGTATTCGTTGCCCCAGAGTATTTTAATCCAACTGGTTCTCTCAGTGCCGTCAGAAACAGACTCTCCTGCAGAGTTTATTCAGGGCGGCTAATAAAACAGGGATCTGGAGGGAATTAAACCATGTTTCTACAAACCCCTAAAGCATCCACTATAGGTCACGTCGGTCAACTCTATTCCGAGATCTGACTAAAAATAGAGGGAAAAGAAATCCATCCAGTTCATTGACTTTTCTGCTTAACAGCTCACAATGATCCATCCTGGTCGAAACAAACAGGCAATACTAGGCCAAGCGCTAAGCAGACACCGTTGAGACGTTTACCGTGCCTCCGCCAATACCTGCTGTAGTCCTAAAGTTACCAGCCTGGCTTTCAGCCCCAGTCTCTAATCCCGGGCCGAGGTCACGCAGTGTACACTCCACTCTGCATGATTGTCAACAAAAACAAAGAACTCTACAGCACTACACATTCTATATTGGTTTATTGATTCAATAGTACAAAAAAGTAGGGCTGTCAATTGATTAAAAAAATTAACTGAATTAGTTAGTTATGCTGATTAAGTAATGAAATTAAACAAAATGTTATGTATATGTCAATATTAGCCCCCAATAAAGATAATTCAATGAAATTACATTACTGTGGAAGATTAAAACAATTAAAGACATTTTAAAAATGGCTTCAGAAGTCAATATAGTGTTTTATTTCACTACCATTAATCATAAGCCATACACAGTACTGTATACCAGCTGAATTTTCAGCATCGTTACTCCAGTCTTTAGTGCCACATGATCCTTCAGAATTAATTTTAATATCCTGATTTGGTTCTCAATAGACATTTCTTATTTAGATATATTATTGACAGATATTATTCTTAATCATCAGTGAATCATGAAAAAATATATCATGGCTTACAGAACTAAAGAAATATTGCAGCACAACCGTTTTCAACATTAATAATAATTGCCTTATTATCAATGTTGAAAACAGTTGTGCTTTCTAATATTTTTGGAGAAACTGTGAATTTTTCTTGATGATTTTTTTCAGGATTTTTGATGAATGCTAGGGTCAAAAGAACAGCATTTATTTGAAATATAATCTTTTCGTAAAAATATAAAAGTATTTAGAGTCGCTTTTGATCAATTTAATGTATTCTCTTGCTGAATAAAATTATTAATTTATTTAATCAACAACAACAACAACAACAATAACAAAATGACCTCAAACTAATTGATTGGTGACCTCAAATTAATTGGTGTATTTTCTTGCGATTTAAAAAAAAATCACACTAAATTAACAACCCTACAAAGGGTAATTTATATCATAAAGTCCTGACTTTATACACGACTCACAGTGTCATTCTAATGGTGACCAGAGTTTTAACACTAACAAGGTTGATTAACTAAACAGTTGATTGAATGTTTTTTGTTTTTATTTTTTGCAATGCTGCCAAAGTCATCTTGACGTAACTGAATTGCCTTAAAATCGGCATGAAACGGAAGTTGCGATAGCCTTTTCTTTCCTATATTGTGATGTATTTCTGATCAAAATGGCTTTAAGAAAAAACATGTAGGGCAGAACTTGATTTTCTCCATCAGGAATTGATTGGATCGTTGTGGACTTGCTAGTGCTGTGATCTCATATGAGTGACAGGTTCCCCTGCCCGGATAAATCAATTGTAATAAATACTGCAATATTCCATGAAAACAGGAATTTTGATTGTATGGTGAGTTGGTGACTTTAACAGGATTTGGCTGAGAATGTGAAACTTCTGAAACTCCCAGTCAAAAAACGATCATTCTGTACAAACCACTTGAGTGAATGAGATAATTGGGCTCTGAAGTGCCGATGGTCTAATGTGAATAAATG